TCCATCTTTTCTTCTTGTCTCTACTGAAGTTACCTTAAGATATTTGGTTCGGATCCCTTCACTCAAGGTAAATCATGGTTGTTTTAATTTACACTAAAAACATTTAGTGCTCGAAGCATAAATCGTTCCTGTGCTTTGCAGGGAGTAATGCATTCTTTGTTCATTAGTGGTCTTTGTGGAGGTAGCTAAATGTGTGTTTTATACAAGCAGTTTATTTAGTAACATTCAGATCTCAGTGTGAACATTAGCTTTAAGGAGCCATTTTAATATTTAGAGTTCAAGAGGTTATATCTATAGCTCTAAAAGGACATTAGTTTCAGGAAACAGATATAATTCACCTTCTCTGTTTCAAGGGCTCTTGGAAATATAATAAAAACGCACTTGTAGTGCCTTTAGGAGTGATCAGACAGGCAGAATTTAAATAATTTAGAATTAATTTTTGAAATAATTTTCAATATGAATAAAATGGGGATGAATTTTACACATCATTTTACAAATTGCACAGTAGAAGACATGGAAGCATGAGGTGAAAGCCCAGATCATAATGGGGATAACCCAGCTAGAATGGGAAGCTGCACGAAGAGCCAATGCAACAAATATTTAAAGAACTGGAAAAATTACATCTAACCCTGTCTTGTTCAAGGTATGAAATTGATTCGAGGCCGCAGTAGCCAGTTCTCACAAAAATTTATGAGCCCTTTTTAATAATTCAGAGAGCAATTATGAATGTCTGTACAAATGTAAAACTGTAAAACTCATAAAGCGTATATATGTATATGGTGGACACTGAGCAGTTTAAGACTGGCATAGGGTGAACAATTAACAGTGAGTTCATATCCAGTAAAGCTCTTAATTCTAGCTTAGTGCCTTTTGTATTTTGTGTAACACTTCACTGTTTGCTCGAGTTGGACTGAATTCACTGGGGTTAGATAATCAGCTCTAGCGTCTTGCTGAATCCGGAGCGAGTTTTTAAGGCAAACATAAATATTTAATGTAATACAATGAAATTCTTAATCAGCTGGAGAGAATGGAAAAAAGCTAACAGCAGAAATCAGATTGCAAACAGAGGATCTGAATTTCAAGTCCAGCCATAGGCTTCACTCCCATTGTCATCATTAAAGCCCATAACAGTGTATAATCATTTATGAATCAGCCTTGAGCACTGTGTGCATGTAGCAATACTTATCTTTRCAAACAAGCACTTTCCAGCCCTGTTTCAGCCTGTTTGCCTTTGTCAGAGACAGCTAGCACTGCAGAACAAAAGAGGAGCTACACTCATGACTAGTTGGTTCTGTTCCAGCATTGGTAAAACAAATCATTAAAATGAAGCAGCCAGCCTTTTTTAATGAACTTTGTGTACTTTGGTTATTGTGCTGCATGGCTTTGATCTGCAGAGAGGGGAACTAAGAAGCGTAAAGGAGAAATCCACTTCTTTTCTGCATGGCTAAGTGCTAGCCATAAATGTGATACATATATGAGTATACCTTATATCTATCTATCTATCTATCTATCTATCTATCTATCTATCTATCTATCTATCTATCTATATATGCATACCTATATATTTAGCTTTAGTGTATATATGTGTGTATATATTTATATGCCATATACTCCACATAAATAGTTTACCTAATACATAAAGCATGATATATACAATAATAAAAAAATAGAAATATTGCCATATAGTATAAAATACATATCTGTATTTCCATATATATATATTATATTTATACACCCACACATTTATATACGTAAAGAGCTCTAGATACCCATATGACAGATTCACAACACACCTGCTCCTACCCTGGGCAAATCACAGACTCACAGCATGTTTGAGGTCAGAAGGGACCTCTAGAGATCATCTAGTCCAGCCCCMCTGCTCCAGCAGGGCCAAGTGTCTGGTTTATCTGCACGCAGCTCTGTTCCCAAAGGTTTCCAGATTACAAGACTGAGAACTAACTGGCCAAYGTGCCCATGTGTCTACAGCACCGCAGGGCTGCTCGGATGCCGGCTCTTGCCTACGCAGGACTGCTCAGAGCATCTAGGCAGAATTTGTGCACATTTGGTGGTGTTGAAGTAAACAGATTTTTAAAAGTCCTGGCGAGGCTTGTAACGCTGGCACTCAGCAACCACTCGTGTGGATCTCTGACCAGAGAACTCAACACTAAAATAACTGACATCGAGCATAAACATGGAGTGGTGTTGAAGCAGCTCCTCTTAATATTTAACTTTTTGATTGCTAATGATTTTTCATCATTTTTCTCCATTTATGGACAAAAAAGCCTCCACAGATTTGGTCAATTTCAAGATAAAATTATATCAGGGCTCTTCAAGAAACCTTGAGAAAATGTTTAACTAGAAATATATATTTCTTATTTATTGCTTTTATTAGGCTCTCTTTAAACCTTCATGAATAATTTAGCCCAAAATAAAATCTCCACGGAGCTGTCTGCTKAATTTACCCAACAGTTTCAATAGCAGGTTTTTAATGTGCTTTTCCATTTCCAGTATTTCCAAATACATTTAGGAGCCTAATTTCTTAAAACTAATGAATGCTCCTCCTTCCTTTATGATCCACTGCGACTGCTGCTCRGCCACACATTGCATCACCTACAACCTTTATCTTCTCTCCTGACAAATCTCGCCATAACCTGAAACAATTCCACTATGTGAAAAGTATTAAGTCTTTTGTGCCCATGAACAGCTCTTCCATTTTTCATGCCATTATCAGACYGGCCCGGTCCTGCAGGCCTGTAGCATTTTTGCAATCAGGTTAATAATCAAAGCCTATTTCTCACTCTCTGAATGCTGCTGATGAAAGAATGAACCTTATTCTCCCACGTTTAGCTGTGCAGAACGGTGCTGTTCACTGAACTGCTTTGGCAGTCTTGGAAACATGCAGATAAAGGGGCTTCTGCATGAACGGGGGTTATTGCACTGTGTGAAGGTACATAAGGCAGCACTTAATCTGGAGCAGTAATTACATAGGGATCCCTTGTGGTAGTCTGGTATGTATAGAAACCTAAAGTCTGTAAAGATTGAGGCGATCATTTAAACTAAAGCACAGAAAATCGTGCCTTTGGAGTATACTATATATCTTTCTCTCAAATTACAAATAACTTCAGTTGATTGAATGTTTCTAATTACAGAGAAATTTTACTTTATTTCTTCTAATTGCAGAGGTATTAAGAGTATGCAAAAGAGTAACACTAAGTGCTCTATCAAAGTACTTAGTATTCAACCACAGTGGTATTGGAATACAAAAAGCATTGCAATCAACAGACATTACCTTATTTAACTAGCRTTTTAAACTAAATTTGAAACTGTTGTTTTTTTAAAATGTAAATACAGAAGACTAGCTTATGTGTGGAGTACACAGAATGAGCGCCTACACTGAGCCTGCAGATTATTTTGAGAGTAGGTTTGCTCTCCTTTTATTCTTCCTCRGAGAAAATTTTCATTTCCCATTTGCTGGATTCAATATATGTAAAAAGAAAGCAAAGGCCTTATGGAATCGACACCTGGATGGGAAGAAATTTACAGTGTCACAACTTGAGAGCATACACAGGTCAAATACAAACCAGAAAGGTGACATTTCCCAGGGAAAATGATGCCTTCCGTTTAGCCCTAGCCACAGCTCGCACAGCCTTCACTGCCAAGATTAGCAGTAACAGGCATTTTCTGGAGTACAACAGAACTGAATGATGCTGAAGATTTCATTTTAAAAAATTACTGGCCATTATTTTTCATACTGATGGGAATAAACTGAAAATTTTTCATACGGATGGAATAAGCAAAAAGAATTATTTGCAATAAGTATTGTGGGGTTGTATCACCTAACTGTCTCTCTCTCTTAACAAAGTTACCATAAGTGACAGAATCAAACAATCTTTGTGCATAAACTAGCCCTTCCATTTTATTTCTTTTCCTATTTTGATGTCCACTGAATTATTGTATTAATTTTTATATTACAGGATAATCCCTGACAAATAATCAAATCATTTGTAATAAAATACTGATTTTCTCAGATCCATTGATCTGGACCATCAAACCCTTACAGGACCATCAAACCCTTACAGGAATTACATCAGCACAGCATTGTATTTTCATCATTATTCTTTGAGACAACATTTCATTAACAAGCAGATGCAAGTGTTTCTGTGGCATGTAACATGCAAACCATGGTTATTAAATCCCTCCATAATTTATGCACAAAGCATAATTCAAATTGGACTGACAATACCACTATCTTTTTAAAACTACTGTTTTTCTGGGTTTTTTTTTTTTTTTTGAGTTCTGGCATTCACATATAGCAAAGTGGTGGGCGGATGTCTATTGTGTGTCCCCAGATACTATGTATCACCAACAAAGAAAGAACATTTACAGGAAATGCACTCAGTAATTAGATTAATAATGGGCAATTAATTTGACAGAGGCAGGCAGCCTATTCAAAAGCAACAGAAGAACATAAAATAATCAAAGCATATTTGGCCCAATTACTTGCATTTGTTTGTTTATTTTAAGGCATGTTGTGCGCACAGATTATCAATGTCTTTTAAAGCTTATTTCAGAAGGGACCATAATGTTTAACCATAATGTCTGTTGACTAGAACACTGAAAAGACCTCAGATTTACTTGGGAGAACAGAGATGGCCAGCAAGCCATTTATTTAGGAATGCTTCTCTGTAGGGTGTCATGGTGTCAAGCAGGCAGCACCGCAAAACACACTTCAAGTGCAATATTCAAGTCAGAAATCTGTGTAATTTCAGCATATGGGAACAGACTTGAAACTTAAGGTACACACCAGCAAAATAGCCCCAAACTAGGCCTTTTGTTACCCTCAAGCTCCCTCAGACGTGGGTCAGGATATATAAATCTTCCTGATGTGCTCTCCCATCTGCTAAACATGGAGCTACTGCAGCCGACGGCAGGCAGTCATTGATTTCACGCTGCTAAAACACCTTCCCAAGACAGTCCTCTCAGCAAATGTGGTTATTTACCTGTCATAGTCTTGGCAGATCTCACCGACAGCCACCAATGCCTTCAAGTACTCATTGGGCTGATAGGGGTGGATGTAGTGCAGGGAGCAGCTGTTCCTCGGATCACCATTTGACGCAGTGAAATCTATAGCTACCTGCAAAAGAAGAGCGGTCAGTAAGTTCTGCAGCTGCTCTGGGCAGCAGCATTCCCCCCCACACCAGAACCACTTTTCTGCAGATACTGTAAAATTCAAGCCAAGGTCATTCTACAGCACCTTCTGTCAATTTACCTTGTGATGGCATTGGGAAGTTTATCTAAAATTAAACAACAGTTTAAAAGTAAGAGTTAATGAAACTATGATGGCATAATTAGGAAAAAAAGATTCACTGCATAATTATTATATGGGGAGAATTATGTTGTAATAAAAATTAATCAAATTAACTATCTCTACATGCTCATACTTAACTAAATTACTCCAGCTCAGGTAATGTACAAGACATAAAGGCTGTGTAGTTAAAATGTCCCTATAGATTTAAAAACCCTACTCAAAATATAAATGAATACTTCAGTTAGGGATATATCTTAGTTATTTTAAAGCTTGTTACATCTGTAGAATAGTAGGCAATACTCTCCACCTGTTCTTATCTTCAAAGCATATTTTAAGCATTAAATAATTAAACTTCCAATTTCATAGGCGGTAGGAAGCTTAAAGGTAAGCTGCAGGGTAAAAATAAAACTTGAATCCTGCACAGGTTTTTGTCCTCAAAAGACTTACAGGGGTAAATATATAGAGGAAGAAGGCAACACAAAAGAAAAATTTAATGAATCTTTTAAAAATTCATTTTCCTGTTCTAAAATTCTCTTTGTACTTCCTACTGAAGATACACTCTTGCAGGCGCCTGCCTGGTATATCACGCGCAGGGACTGTATGCACTGGAAAGCCCTTTCCCAGATCTGTGACGCTGCTTTCTGGGAATTCCTAAAAGGAGCAACAAGAAACCTAAGATGTTTTATAAATTGGGGAAAAAAAATAAAGCTATTTATAAAAGTTCTTATGATTTTGACCAATGTCCACTCCCTCCAAAAGGACATTAGATCTGGATCTTCAAAAGATGAAAATGCACCGGGTCCAATTTTCTGTTTTATTTTGCGGTTCGCATATGAGGAAGGACCTTGCTCAGGGCTGCAAAAAGAACTTAGAAAATACTGGTTTGCCTCTGCAAATTTGCCACTTCCCCAGCTAAAGTCCCTGCTTGCCACAGGGATCAGTAACTGACACCACCAAATATTTTCGTTAGCCTCTGAAACCTGTATTGAAATGAGCTAAATATAGTTTGTACTATTTATTCAGTTCTTTCAGATTATTTCAAGACCAAATAATGGGAAGCTCTTCAGAAAATTAAAAATATTTTCAGATTGCAGGTTTCACTTCGACATGCTATTTTCATTTTACTAAGCTATCTTTTTAAACAGGTAACATAAGGGAAACAACTTCAAGATGAAACAAGATATTTTGAGTCCTCTTCAACAAAAGGCGAGAGTTCTCCTGAACCTTTTTCTTTTTTGTTAAAAGCTAAAAGAGAAAAAAATCACACTGAGTCAGTGCACTATAGCTTTTCGTTTCCTGTTTTTCCACTTCAGTCACTAGGCAGAAGAAACATATTTTTCTCTGGGCTCTAGTTAGCTCTGGAATCCCCCTGTAGCCCTGACCAATGTCATCCCTGGCAAGTCAGCCAAGAGCTATGAGCCTGACCTGGCTTGCAAGCAAGGTGCTCTCTCACCTCCCCTTCCCTACATACTGCTCACACAGTGAATAAGTCATTTTGTTACCTTTCCACATGGATCCTCTTTTTCTCCCCAAATGACAGCATGATTTAACTTGAATAAATCACCAGGCAAACCTCTCTAGTGTTAACTTGCTTGTATGTACATAACCATACGCGTTGCAACATAAATCTTTAGTGCCACAGCTGACAGAAATGAGGCAGAAATGTTAATGCTTTGGGAAACCTGAGGCAAATCCATGGATACTTGTAGGGATTCAAGGCTCTAGTTTGTGGGGCGCTTAAAAAAAATGTTGGCCAWTGTGTGCATGTATTTATCTTCTTAAAAATGTATATCCTTTCCCTGATACTAATTTAACCTTAATTATTTGTACTGATTACAGAAAGCATAAAAGTGTTACTGTATGATAAATRAGCAGAGGGCAGTTCTGTGGAGCTGTTTACAGGCATTTTCACTGATAACCTCAAAACAGACAGCTAATGTGGTTGGACTGAATGGAACCAGACAGAAATGGACAAGTACAGTGGCTGTTAGCCAAGGCTACATTATGCTTTTTACTGAAAATAATATCAAAACATAGGAATAAGGAGTGGGTTTCATGAAGCAAGATAAAAAGTCTGTGGCTAGTGCCTGGGAAAGCACTAAAGAAACCCACCCCAAAACAGCTTCTTTTCTACAAACGGRCCTTGCAGCAGAGAGCTGCTAATAAACCAGAAATATCCTTATTTTTTATGATGTTTGTAAGAACTTTGATGCACTATACKCGGTTTTGATTCAGATCTTCCTAATTTCTTATGAGAGGACTTTTATGAAAGATGCAGTAGTTCCAAAACAACACCACAACGCTCTGCTCTATTAGTGCTCCCTGGCAGCACCAAGGTCTTGTGCAAATAAGTAGAAAGAAGATGTGTTAAACCAAGTTAAGAAGGTAGGCTAATATGTTTGAACTAAAACTGGCAGTGCAGGACCCTTCCTTGTAATATGTACATTAGATTTTTAACAGGCTGTCTTTAARTGTACCAGTTCAAGGCATTTCTTCATCCTCCCACCACTGAGCAAGAACATAACACAGTAGTAACTACACTCTTAGCACATTTTCCTTCAGCCTTGTAAAAGGGTGGAAACATCCTACATAACTCCTGCTAGAGCTGTCAGCAAAGAATCAAGTCTGTTCAACACCGTGACCTGTCTGAGGGAAAATCTGTCCAATAAATCTTTCTATTACAGATCTTTTTATGCATGTTACACACCCTTTCTGCTGTATTTCCCAAACTGATGGAAATGTCTTCTGACTGGAAACCCATTTGCACTGCCAACTTCTGAACGTTTCTTCTACAGCAGGGAACACTGTCTGATAAGAGATACAGGGTTTTGCAATAAGCGCTGCATAAAAGAAACGTTCTGGAATCAGCACTATTGATCTCTGTAGGCAAAAGCTTCCTAATAAATGGTTTCAAAGCGAGGGAAAAGTTTACTTTGGGTTTCTGAGATGTTCACTCCAGCTACAAACTATGCTCCTGAAACAGAGCTAAAAMGTACCCCAAGAATACATAGCATGATGTTACCAAAGCCCTAATTAGCGCCTTAAATTAGCAGGTACATCACACTGGGGCTTTTTGTTGTCAGACCTATGCTTAGCATTCTAGYTTCCCTCCTGCAACAAGGGCCTTGGAGAGCACAGCTGTGTGATCCTGCTGGGACGTGGCACGAACTGCACGGGAATGTCATCGAGGTGACTACCACAACAGTAACTGTGCCAGGGCAGTGTCAGATAATTCCAGGTCCACTTTCCCACTCCAGTTTGAGGAAAAGGAAATCCCAGAAGGCAGAAAGAAAAGGCTCACAAGGTTTCAGTGGCCTGAATTAACTGAATCGGGACAACATGGAAAGGAGAGCATGTGATGTGCACAGAAAGCAGAAGAAYTTCCCATGTCTCCGCTGCAGGCTGCACTCTCTGCTTCCTGGACTGCAAAATAAATCTATGCTAACAGTACTGCAAAGGGCCCTGTGGCTCACAACCTGCACCATGCTCTCACCACTCCACACTGCTGGAACTTCCGCAGCATGAGGTAAAACAATCCAAACTCAACCTGGCATTACCTGGAAGCAGGATCTCTAGTTTATAAATGAACAGAGGACATCCACTCCACTGAGGGAGCTCCCTCACTGAGGCTCCACTGCTCGTACCACTTAGGTCAGCAGTAATTCTGCAATCTCTGCAGCCCGCACTGTAGTGGACCTTTCATCTCCTTCATGTCCTCATGGCCCACCTTTCCTTACAGACTGGTTTACTTTATATTCATATTATCAATGGTTTCATCTTGTTTCAGTGATTAACTAATCACTAACAGACCCTTCTGAATATGCAAACSGAGTGCAAGTGAAAACACACAACGTTTGTGCACTCAGAGAAAACAAGAAAACTTCTCAGGTGAAGGTACTGGGATAAACCCCTTTAAACAGGCTGGTCCAGCAAAAACATGGCCATCTTTTGTACTGGGTATTCAGATAAATGGTATCTGCCGGCAACATTATCCCACATAGGATAYAATAGAACAATACCATCAGCCACCTACATTAAGAAACCCATTTAAACACAGCAGTTCTCAACTCGTGGTTCACAGACTCCTGATGGAAAATCTGTGAGGGGTAAATAAAAGACAAGCACGTGACAGGAGTCCTCAATTCACTTTATAAGGCCTTGCTCTTCTACTAGAAAACATCTAGGGAGAATGAAAAGAGCCTGTAAATCAYAGCTGCAGCATAACAACATATATGTCCCCAGACACTTTTTAATGCTTGTAAAGTTCCTTCTTGTGCTTATGCTAGACTTGTGRGAAAAGAATATTAACTAGTCTTTGCATGTGCATAATCAACCTGCCCTGATTAGAAAATGCTTTTAAATAATTGCTTGAAGACACTACTGTCTGCAAATGGCAAAATATTTGATATTTGAGTTCTTCTGGGCTTATCTGGGGAGAAGAAATRTCAGGAAAGACAAATGCAAGGAGTTTTCTGGAACTGGTGACCTTGAGAGGTAGAGGGGAAATGGGTGCTCCAGGTATCTGTGAATAAACAAAACCTAGAGACAGAGGAAACGAGCTAGAGTAACACAGAGAGGGCATTGCATACAATGCCTTGCTTAAAAAAATACAGATGAACATGTTGTACTGTTCATCTGTTCAATTGTACTGAGTTGTACATTGGCAAAGTGTATGTATTTATTTCTCAAAAAGTTGATTCATATAGACGGGTATAAGCTATTGTCATATAGAGCTGCTGTTGTTGATGAAAACAACTGTTTGGATACAAACATCTTTTTTTTTTTTTCCTCCCCAAAACACTTTGGGAAATGAAAGGTTGTCTGGAAAAGTGAAACAGAAGACTTCAGTAACGTCTGATACTTGATATTTTGGAAAAGAAACATTTTCTGTTTTGTTTTGTTTCTCTTATTTCAAAAGGTCTCCCAACAAGATTATTAGGTCCAATCTAGTCAAATCAAAGGCAAAATCAGAACAATCTGGCTCATTTGTTGTAGGACTTGTGAAGCAAGCAATGACTGAAGCAGGATACTACAGGAAAAGCTTTCTCCAGAAGAATATTGCCTTGGAAATTTTAATTTTCCAAGATTTTAATCCATGCATCTGTCATGAAATAAAAGTGTCATAAACTGAACTAGAACTGAGCCAAAATCATTATTCCCATGCTATGGTATTGAAACAAACATATGGTAATACCCGCAAATCATTTTTTGATCCTGCTCATTAAATAGAGCAGCTTCTGAAGTCGTTCTAAATTACTCCCTCATCCCCTCTAGTGCCATTTGGCTGCTGGTAGTTGTGACTGAGGTACCAAATACCAACATTTACCCCACACTGATGGTGAGAGGTGCCTGGCTAGAACGGCTGAAGGTTGGTGAGATAAAACTCCATATGACGTAGCCCTAGCAAGGAAACTTCTCTGAAATGCTTGTAGACAACGTGAGRCTCAAAAGTCAAAGGTCAGTCAGCAGTATCACAGGGGCTAATTTATTCCCTTATCACAGGGATATTTCCCCTATCACATGGGCTAATTTATTCCCTTTGCTTTTGGCACTTTGTGCTGTTCAGATGGAGTTGAYGAGATAACACCAGCTCAGCTTCTCACCCTCTGCATGATGTTGTCTTTATGTCTTTATATTTTGCAATGTGATTGCCACTGCTGCAAAGCATAGAAGAAAATCAAGTGTGTGAAAGAAAATCTTACAGCACTGGCATAGTTTTGTTTGCTGAGCATAATATATTTTGCAGGAAGACCTTAATAATTTATCAGAGAGTAGCATGCAAGGCTCTCTTCTCTGTGAAAATGATGAATTATTATCTAAGGGGATTCCCTTTCTTTAATGCAAGCTGGAAAAGGAAGTCACTTACTGTAAACTGTATTTGGCAGCCTCCCATGATATAATCTAAGAAGGAATGCATCTTGTGAATCTGCAGACAAGAAAGCAAGATATCCAAGTTAAATGTGTATTGCTGAAATACCAACACTTGGAAACAGCCTGAGCAAAATGAAATGCAAGGTGGAGGATGCATTAACAGAAGAAGAAAAAAAAAAAAAAAAACGGACAGAAAGTACCAAAACTACAGCATGGTAAATTCACATCAAAAGTAGAACCAAGCACTACATCTTATCATGGGACATCAGAGGGGAATTTGCTATCAGATTAAGAGGAAGTAGAGTATTTTTCTATATTTAGAGTTAGGAATGTCAAAAGAATTGGAAGGGAAACACGCAGAAGCCCATACAGCAACCCTGTAACTTTACAAGCTCCATACTGCCTATTTCATAGCACAGCAGCAGAGAGAGGACAACAGAAATGAAAGAGGATTTGGGGAGTGTTCATAAAAAAAATTGAGATTCATCTCATTTTTTTTTTCAAGAGGATCGTTTTCTATTGCTCTTCTACCCACGGTTCTGTTTTGATGGCTCCATTTCAAAYCATCACTATTCAATATGACTGAGATCTTAGAAAAGAAAAAGACAAAGAGCAAAATACAGATACCTTGCACTGGTTAAGGATGACAATGCCTGAGTTCTTGTAATTCTTCTTCTTTGCTTTGTACTTGGGATTTATGCATTCCCACTGTACCTGTGGAAAAAGCAGTAAATGCACGAGGGATAATTAATGTACAAATAAAATAATTAAAAAGATTTCCAAGACTGACTAAAGCCCTTCAAATAGTACACACAAAGGAAAATATGAAAACCATAACTATTCTGAGAATCATATTAACAGAAAAAGTCCCAGGACAGACATCTGTCTTCCAAAATGCATATAAAGACACAGCAGTGAGAGAGAGACAGTTACCTAGATTCCTACGTTACCATCTTCCAAGYGTGTAGAGGGGGTATGAAATACTGAGTACCTCTTGAGATCATTTAGGAAAAAGAAAAAGAAAAGCAGGGAACTTAATAACAGTGAAAATATGTGAGGGATCATCCTGATGCATTGTATTAGCAACAAAACTCTCTGTATAGTAACTCCGGTGTTCTGTATTAAGTTGTCATGTTCAGAGAAAATTTTTTCAGAGATGAAAATGATTCCTTAATCCATATTGTTGCCTTTAGATTCTGGAGAGTTGGCAAGAGTTGGTTCTTTGACCACAATAGTACAAAGGAAAAATTAAGACTTCCCCTCAGATGGGCACAGAAAGGTAATTACTGATATATTTAAGAGTTCAAATTTTGAAATGTATCCCCAAAAATAGAAATGAAAAAAAAAGTTCTCAAAATGTGCAGATTAGTTATATTTACAAGTATGCAATTTTACAATCGCAATTTTTATGTCTGTGTTGTGACTGAAATATATTGATTTATTCCCATCAAAACATTTCCCAGAGACTTTCTGGTTTTCACTTCTAATTTTGGGGCTTTCTCTGTTTTCAGGAAGATTGGTAAAGCCGAGGTTTTAGAATCTGAACTCTAATGCCTGCAATAATATTCATGCAGAAGCAAAATACACAGCTGCATGTTCAAGTATCTATTGGTGTTTGCAAACCCAAATTTTTATGTGTAATGTGGTGCTAAGAATATGACTATTTTTTCTTTCAAAGAGATGTTTTCAAGTGCTGGGGAGGAGAAAACATGCAAGTTCTAATGTGATGTTGGGTAACATAAAGAATCCATCTCTGGAAGTAACCAGGATGGCCCGTACAGTAAAAGAAGACTATTTTAATATTCTGAAATGAAAAACATGTTTAAATATAGCAACAATTTATAGTGAGGATTCTCACATACCATTTGTCTGAACAAAGCGCTTAAGCACTTTGCAAAGCACTTTCACCTTACAACCATTATTTGAATGTTTCTGAAATATTTCAGACTTATAGCTTTTTTTTTTCCCCAGGTATCAAAAGGAGAACGAAAAACACATGGCTTTAGGCTGTATGAGATCTTTTCTACGTAGAGAATAAGGAATATTTTCATTGTTGTGTTTCTGCAGACATGTGACAGAGCTGAGAATAAGAGCAAGAAATATCCAAACTGTAGGAAGCACATCTGCTTGCTCTACCAGTTAGCCTACAGCTCTACTATTTGCCTTGTAAAATGAATTTTCCAACTGAGAAGACAAGCAGACACAGGTCCACCYACTCAGGGGAAATCCCCCAAAACCATTTTTCTCTACTCTAGAAAATCAGTCAGGCTTAAAAAACAGTCAAGATTTTCCTAGCAGAGAGAGCTCTACGTGGCAGGATCCAAGGCTGCAATAAGCTCATCTTTGGGACAGTAAGCTGTGAGCAAAGCCAAGCCTTGCCCACTCGCATCTTGGTAGACTGCTGTCCAGCAAGATGCTTTAGCATGCAGTTATCTTCCAAACCTATCGAAACAAAGAAATTGTGCAGTCTCTATACATTAAGAAGAAATTGCAATATAATGAATAGAGAGGAAAAAGTAGGAGTTGAGAGCAGCAGAGAAAATGGTGTATTCCTCCTTTCGACACTGAACTACATGGAGTGAGATCTCACTATTTTCCCCTGAACGTCAAGGTGCATTTACTGAATTTCATCTTCTGTGAACGTGAGCACTTTTCAGTGGGCATGTTTCAACAACAAGGCCTGACCCGTATAAATCCTTACAGTGTGCTCATAATCCCTCTCCCCTGGGGAAGGGATTATGTAAGCCTGATCTACATTTATGTTCACGTAACTGGCTTTTAGGAAAAGTATACATTTTCTGAAGACCAAGGCAATAAAAAAACAATTTTAGGGGAGGAAGCTGTGTGCTCGTGGCCAGTCTGCTCAGCTCGTCTGTGCTAACTGTAAAATTTAAGTGGGAATGTTGATCTGCATTTTGAGATTTATGGATAACAATTCTCAKCAACTATCTAAAGCTTATGAAAATATTCCACACACGGATGACTAACATGTAATGAGCTTACGTAGATAAGAAAGCAAAGGAAAAAGTAGATTAAGGAATCTCCAGAGAGCAGAAAAATAAAAGAACAATTTTGCTGTTAAATCTGTTAGTCTGATAGTATAGGAAAGAGAAAGGGGCAGGGGAAGGGAAAACTCCTTCCCTAGTTCATGTTTGGACTTATAAAGAATTTTGGACTGCTTTACATAAATTTCACAGTTGTCTTTAATTACCTGCCACGATCTAGTTTGAGACTTTGCTTGCACTGTGAGGCTYATTTTTCAGTCTGTTCCCACATTCCACTATTGATTTGGCATCTGACATCATTTCTATTGATACGTTTTTGTCTTTTGAATTAACTTTTAGTTGAGAGGAAACTAATGCAAGAGTCTGCAGTCTGACACTAATGGTAAATGCTGTGAAATCTAAATTGATGATTCTAACAGTCACTTTGCTTTTCTTCCATACGTCTGGCAGTTCTGGGCTATACAGGCTCTTWCCCTGTCAAATACCCCAGTGAATCTGAAACAGAAAGCAACCTGATTTTACTGCCTCCTGTTAATTTAATATAACAGCTGTTACGAATGCTGGTAACGAAACCCCCAAACTCCACTGCTTTGGTGTTCCTTTCATTCTACAAAATCTAAACCAGCATGTGAAAAAATGTGTAAAAGAAACTAATTCCAGCTATTCTTCAGTGAAAGTCAGCAAACTAATGGTGACTCTGGGAAGGTCCTAATCTGTTCTTCTCTGGAATGAGGAGGCCTAAGTCCCTCCATGAGAGCTATCCATCTCTGCAGTAAAGGATGCTGCTTCCCCAAATAGTCTTATCCTTCTCTTACATATTTGCAACTGATACTTAAAGAAAATTAAGGGGAATTCCTTGATCCCTGCCTATGATATGTGTTCTCTCCTAGTCTCTCCTGTTGCCCAACAGACCGTAGTTGGTTGATGGTCATCAGGAGGTGCTGACTATCTTTGATAGAACTATAGCAATGTATTCCAGGGAGCCATGAAGTCTGCCACATAGAGGAAAAAGCAAGCACAAAATTAAGAGGCTTCTCTGTGTCTCCTTAGCAATACAGACAAGGGAGCCAGACCCACATTCTGCTCTTTACACTGGCTCCCTACCCAGCATTTGACACCTAGTTCCAGACTCGCACTCTCAAGACACTCACTGTTTAGATGGTATGTGAAAGAATGCTGAACACCACAGGCTGAAGGAGGCAGTTTTTTTCCTCCAATTAAAAGGAGCAGGAAACAGAAAGTATTCTGGTCTGAGCCTATGAAAAAATCTCTCCTAAGAATTAAGGGCTGCACCTAAGCTATCCATCTCCTCACTCATGTAYAAACCCATTTCTCTGAGATGGCCTTTATTATTAAAAATACCTAGCAACACATACACCTGAGTACAAACTACCCTCTTCCTCCTCTGCTATTCCCTCCAAGTTTATCAAATTGCTTGTATTCAAAGCAAACACTCTGCTGTACCTACTTTCTCTCTGCAGAGAAGAAAAACCTAAAAAAAAAAACCAAAAAAAGGATAAATGCTAAATATCACCCTATGTTACACAAGGGATGTTAGACAGATTTACGTGCATAAAGATGGCTTTATGGGGTTTGTAGTTAGCGGCATMTATTCCCTTTAACAGTAACTGTTACTTCTGGAAAAAAGACCAAAAGGAAAAAGAGAGCCAATGAGAGTGACAGAGGAAGGGGGAATGGGAATGAGAAGGGAAATTGTTCTCCAGGGGCCAGCCAGGAAGAGCAGYAGCATGGTCTCACACAAGCACCCTCCTGTGCAGTAGGTGATCCCCCAGAACACTTTTTCCATAGTAACTACATAATTTTCATCAGGATCTGCTCAAATTCCCTACAGCTTGTTCCTGCCTGTTGTGCTATTAGCACCAACAAAAGCAGGATTTTGCTGGGTACAAATGCTGACTGGTTGTAGAGCTTTGTGCATGCATATTTTGGGGCAACACTTAACAGCTTTTAAATGACTGTTACCCACTGTGTTATTCAGTAAATCTAGTCCTATAGAACAAACTAGAAGCTACTAAACAGGGATTAGCAAAGGGGAGGGATGAGAAGGGGTGACTGCCACTAGAAGCCATAGCTTTCTATGAGAATCTGCTGTAAAAACAGGGGCTTGTGCAGCTGCAAGCCCATAGACTAACTGCACAAGAAAAATAATGAGAGAGAAACAAGGGGGAGAAATCCTGCCACAATTGATTGGGATTACAGAGGTGCAAGGTTGTGCACTTGAAAACAAAAAGCAGATTGTAGTGACACAAGAAAAAGACAGTCTGCGGAATTGCAACCTGCAGGCCCTTGGCAATGCAAGGGGCCGGGCACTTTGGGCACCACGCAACATCGAAACACTTGTGGATGGCAGCGCAGGGTGGACCTGTACGGACTGCAACAAGAACTGGCACATGACTGCATGAACCTCTTATGCCTGCGACAGAATAACCATCCTTTGCTCTAGCTGGAGATGAAAACAGCACACTGCTTCTCCATCAGAATGAAGAATATACAATTTGTCCTTCTCAGACATTTCTGGTACTCTAGACTGTCTCTTACCTTGCCCAAAAAGCGTTCTGTGTGGGAAGGATTGAGATGCTCTTTTAAAGAARTTTGCACATGGAATGGTATACACACTCTTTACTATTCTCACACAGTCCTGTTACCAGAGACAGACATTTATTTAGAAGACTGGGGTACTGCTACAGCATTGGCCTTGTTAATGCTATTCACTCTGTTAATGCTAGTCAATCTGTTAATCTTTTGAGATGGCGTTTATATACACTCAAATTCAGTTTGGATTTAGTTTTAATAGGCACCAGTTCAAGAGAGGGCTGCAAAAAGTAACCATAAATAAATAAATAAATAAATAGAAGCCCAAAACATTGCTGGTGGGTCCTGATCCTCTGACTTGACTCTGAGAGAGCAAAACAAGTTTTTACTTTACGATCAGACGTGTTCAGAATTGATTTATGATGGGTTAGTATATGACTGACATATATATCAGGAAATTCTTAAACACATGAGCAGCATATGTAAACAGTAGTTTCCAAATAAGTGGCAGATATGTAGCAGAATCATAGAATTGCCTAGGGAACAGCCAGACTGCTTAGTATTTATTAAAAACTTTTTTACTCTTTGTTAGTTTTCCATTATAAATAGAACCTTAATGTAAAGTCCAAACAAAGTTTATTAGGAATTTCTGTTTGATTTTCAGATCGCCATGAAGCAGTGACTACAAATTATCAGCAAATCAGAAAGCCAACAGTTTTAACTTTCCCTCAGAAAAATTATCAAAACTAATGCCTTTGGGATTAAATAATAATAGCAAATGACAGTTTCTAGAATTAGATATGCCAAATGATTTATCATATGCAATAATTGCTATCAACTTCAATTTGCAAAGATCAGACTGACATAAAGAAGTGAAATTATTAATGAGGTAGCAATTCCATTTTCCCTTAGGACTGTAATTCATGAGACACTTAAGAAGTCAATTGATTTCATCATGACTGGTTCAGGTAGAGCTGGCAGCAGTGAATACAGCACAGCAGACCTGGAGAGAGGTGGAGAACGACCCTCACCCAATAAAGGGCTTTTGGCCAACAGGGGAATGTGGACAGGGCCTGTCCTGGCAGTGCAGTGCAGGGCTGCAGAGAAACTGCGTGATCAGGCTCAAAGAAAATGAGTATTAGCAGAAGGGAATGTCTGCAGGATGTGAACTAGAAAGAGACTGCTATGTGGAAGGGCAGGAAGAGCTGTGATTTGCATTTGCAGAGTATCTTGTCCAGGTAACAGTCAAACATGTATGAGAAATCAACAGATCAAGCAACCTTCCAAAGAACAATCAAGCAATATCACTAGCACTATTACCTACAGGTCCCATGAAGGCTGCTCTGCCATACAGGCATGCTGAGATGCTCTCTGTGGTTTTCACCTACCTGTCTCCCTTCCATAGCTCCTCGCATTTCCTTGAATGTTGAGCTAAACTCTCCAATGAAGTCATGCTTGCCATTGGAATCCCAGTCCCACACTATGCACTGGGGAGGGAAAGCAGAAAAGAACAGAGGGAAACATTTTTTCTTCAGATAACAAACGTTCTGTTGAAAAATATTACAGGCGATATTATGATAAGCATACAGTGGAATGCTTTATCTAGAAGGAAATCAGAAGAGATTCAAAAAAACCCATTCTTGTTAAGATGAAAATGAAATGACAAGTGGAATCTCAACACAGTTACTCTAGCAGCTGTGTGCAGTGGTGCTGGCTGATGAAAGTAAGTTCAYGGCACTTAGAAAGAAATATTTCATGGACTGCATCTTTTACACAGGTGCAAAAAAAATTAAATGGTCTATATTTGTACGTTCATTCTCAAATGCTGTCCCGAGCGAGAGTAAATTACCTCTCTAAAGTGCTTTAAAAATATCATTTAATTTTCAGCATATTATTTGTAGTAGACAAACACTATTGCTCTCATTTTTTGAGTCAATGAGGGTGAGGAAATAGTTACAGAGATCATTTTCTGAAATGGTTTTAAATTTGCACATATCGGTGTTTGGTGGCTGTATCTCGGCTGTTTTCCACTGTGGAGCAACAGTGACTATTCAATCCAGTTCCCACTGGAAGTCATTCACAAAATATGCATAAATGTGAATATCTCTATGAGTTTAATGGTGTGAATTTTATTTACATATATTGCTAAATAAAATCCAGCTAATCAAGACTAAAGCACATAGCAAAAACTACAAGTTTGCTAACTATTACTTTTAAAACTGACCCAAAGACAACAAAGTGGTTTACAACCTTAAAGAACAGAATCCTAGACTCAACCTCACAGTCTCACTGGCTGAAGTTCACGTATACTGACAGAATCAGGAAACCTGTCCTGAAAACATCCAGCTAAAAACCATTTCTGCTGGTTTTTTTTTTTCTGCTTTCTTTTTTTGTTGTTCTTGTTGTTAAAGCAGAAATGCCTCAACATCTCCAGTGTCATGAGGAGCATGCTGATACTTGCCTATCAAATGGCTTCAAGGGAAACTTTCTCTCCTGTCCGAGGACCAGATTCTGGTAGGTCTGGGCCTGGGTGTGGGGTGAAGGACTGGGCCAGTGGGAGAGGTGGAGATGCTGCCTGCTGAGAAAGGCAGGAGTGACAAACAGCCCAGGGCAATGGGGTGATTGTAGTGGACTACCAGGCTCAGCACCTCTAACCCAGTCCTCATGGCCAGACAACACAGGAGAACAAGTGAAGTTTGTTCCCCAGGCAGTTCTCRTGCTCAAGTCATTGAAGTTGGCTTGGTCCAAAGGGATACTTCRAATTCACACAGATGGAACTGCAAATCACTGGATTGAGTGGATGTTAAGTGTTAAATTTTTCTAGGAAAGGACTCTACTGAAACAGACTTCCATGTCCACTGCGTACAGTTTCTAACCAGCCTTTTAATATGACTCTACTTAGATTCTTTCACATTAATTCTACCAGAGGTGATAAACATATGAATAATTCAGCCAAAGTTACTTCCTGAACACTCTAACCAATCTCTTTTTATTTGACTAGCAAAACTGGTTTGCAAATTACTTACTTTGCAGGTAAGAGAAAAGAATCAATAGCAAGCTTGAGGTATGTGCAAAATAATCAAATTATATGAGTAGAATAAAAAGGATAAAAAGGATAAAAAAAACAAGAGAAAGATTAGCTTACAAGAATTTTAATGCACTACAAGTAAGATCTTACACAAAGTCTCCCATTACAGATTCACACCATCTAACATCCTCCTATAACAGCAGTAGGTCAATAAATGGCCTCTTCTTCACAAGATGTTTGTCAATGAAAGGTACATTGACTTCAAGCACAGCTTGGGAGTCATTTGATCGTTACATCTGAGCCAGCTTCCCGAATAGATCATGCTACTGAGTGCCAGGGAGCCTCAGCTGCCTTTGCAGAAGGAACAGAGGTGGTGATTTTACCAAGTTCATGCACAGGACTCCTCTGGCAGCAGGCCACCACATACTTTATCATTTAAGTTCCTTTTTTCATCATGCCTTTAGCTTTCTTTTGAACTTTCAACACTGTTCCACTCAGCCTCAGGAAAGGCCTTGGTCTGATGCAAGGAGAATTTCCCTGATACACACTGTGGATGTACAGCAGCACTACAACAGACAGTGCATAGGGGAAGAGCACAAGCACATTCCTCATTGCTGCAGGCATTAATCATTTGAAATAGTTCAGTGGCCAGGCACATCCCAGTTCTTGAGCACTCTCTTATTTTTCCATCTTATCATCTGGAATTTTGCTTTTCTTCAATTAAAAAAAATTCTTCAATTAAAAAATTAAACCACAAAAGAAGAATTCTTACCTCAGATCTAGATCATATTATCCAAACTCAAATATTTTAAAATTTAATTTCTTTGACTTGATTTGAGACAAGAACTTCTCTCAGTTCTCCAATAGTCTCAATATGAGATGTCTCAGAAATATCTCAGAAAGTCTCAATATACAGCCCAGACTGCATTTTCACTGATCAATATTCCCATGCTTTTTATGACAAAGTAACTCTTGGTCCTCACCATTCTCTTTATTTTTGTCTTATGAAATATAATAGAGAAAAATCATCACATGGAGGGGCAAATACCACCTAATGTGAGTGCATGTTTGTTCACAGGCACACACGGATACTGATAATATTTTCCCTACATTTCATGGAAATGTTTTAAGTGGCTGGTCTCCATAAGGATTTCACAGGGAGATATTTATTTTATACATCATGCCCTAGCAGAGAAATAATGGAGAGTCTTGTAACTTAGCCTGATAATTTATGAACCAGTCCAAAACATGCTGTGAAGACTGGTTGTTAATAGACTGGCAGCAAGTCCTACAACTAAATCCTATCTGGAGGCAGCTGAAAGCCAGACCATACAAATGTGCTTCTTGAAAATAATTCATGTTTCCTTCAGCCAGTCAGACATTGCAGCTTGTGGTACGTACAAGGGCAGCAAAAACTAGACAGCTGTGCTTACACACAGAGGCTGATGGAGCAAAGTGTATGTGTGATTCATCCCGGTACTACCTGGCCACCTACCTGGAGAGGCAAAGAGCTGGATGACCCAGCTCATCATGTAGGACCTTAGCTAAAGCATATTGCAGATTTGGGATGAAAAGGGACTGGCCTGGATGGGAGAGAAGGCCAAATCCATGGTTCCCTCTCCAGCTGCTCTGTGCTAGCTGGGAAGCCTGTGCCCCGCAGCAGCCGAGGAAGCCCTTTGAAGAGGAGCATCCTAGTCTGACCTTGCCCTGATGCAGGTGAGGTCCTAGCTCAGGTAYTGTATGAAAAACAACCATTTTTGTGTTTTGTATGAAGAACAACAATTTTTGTGTGTGCTGATACTTTGACAGCTATACCCTGAGGCTCAATAATGAGCTGAAAGGATAATAGCTTTTAAGAAAGAGAATTATCCTTAGTCAGAAACTGCAGGCATTTGAGAGACACAGTTTAGGGCAACAGCACTGAACAGGAATGGCTAAATTCTGATCAGAAACTACCTTGGATAACTTTTTCCTTGCATTTCTGCAGAACAAGTTGTTTTTTGACTAGGCAGGAAGCAGAGTGCTCATTTTTGCACCTGAATGTAATAAATTACAACCCTGCCAGTTTTAACAGATTTKGGCTCTTTAGCTCTAAACTAAAACAACCTCACAGTGATTTTTAGGTAAGGATTCACATGACACTAACTCCCTCTCCAAGAACCAAAGGTGGGTACAATGTGGCAAAAAGCTACAAACAGAAATTCTCTTTTGGTTCAATCTCTGAGATTCATATCAACAATAAAAACAGAGTTTGAAAAAGCAAAACATAGATTTACTTCATTAATAATAATGATTAAAAGTTACTTCCTTATCAAAGTAACTTCTTTGAACAGTCTGTCTGTCATCTCAGTTATCATTACTTGATAATGAAGTTAAGCTCCTCCCTGGAGTATAGATACCCACTTACCATACTGCAAAGCAGTTCTTTTCATAGGAAAGCCTTTATCCTTTACCTAGCCCTTMTCCTCACTTGGTTACGAGAAAAGCTATGCAAAACTTCATCACAAAAGCTAAGGCACATAATGTTATCCTGTTTCTGTATTTATAATGATCCAAAGCCAAATTATACACTAATGCAAATCACAATCCTGGATTACGTGTCGCAGAATAACTACACTAGAACTTGGTCTTTYCTGCTTTACAAGCAATTCTTCATGCAGAAGCTTTTTCAAACAAGCTGGTTATCTTTCCATTTTCTCTTTTCAGTAGTTGGACTTCTTGCAAAAATATAATTTTTTTTTTTGTGGATCTTTTCAGATTTCCTCTGGAGCTGGGCTTGTGTAAGAATAGAGTGAAACAGCTGAAATGAACTGTTATTTCTTGTGCATCTCTATCTGGCTGATATAAAGCCTTCTCCAGAGTACTGTGGAGGAAAAAAAAAATGAACCATTTTACTCAGAAAAGCTATCTCCATTTTTCAGAACTACTCAAAAAAAGAAAAAAAAAAAAAAAAAAGAAAAAGGCAATATATCAGCACACACCAGCCTGGCGTATGATCTGGCCCTTAAGAGATAGATGAAATCCTGTCTCTGTTACAGGCAATGAGATTTTTACCACTTCACCATCTGCCAGGATTCCATCAATACCTTTGAGCCTCCCATACAGGGACGGTGGGAATTGATATGTTAAAAGTTCATGGGGTTGTATTGGATTCAGATCCTTTGCCTACAGATACAGAGGGAGCCTTGAGACAGCGATCACTGATGGATCTCTCTTGGTTAACAGACTAGTGATTCAGCATTCCCTTTGATATGCTGCAGTAAGTACAGCACCCAAGACAATTAAAACACAAAGAAAAACAATCTTCACAGGGATCTAAGAACACAAGAAGTTTGATTTTAAAATTATCTGCTTGGGAGAGAAGAGGAGGGATAGGCAATTCCTAGTCAGTTTTGTAAAACAGCTGCAGGTTCTCTGATTCCAGATCATAGTAAGCAGTCATGTTTTATTGATRGCTGG